CCCTTCCAGGGAGGGGGCAGCCACAGCTTCTCTGGGCAGCCTGTGCCAGGGCCTCACCCCCCCACACAGGGAACAATTTCTGCCTCAGATCTCATCTAGATCTCCCCTCTGACAGTTTAACACCGTTCCCCCTTGTCCTATCCCTACACCCCCTGATGACGAGTCCCTCCCCCCGTTCCTGCAGCCCCTTTCAGCCCTGGGGGGCCGCTCTAAGGTCTCCCCGGAGCCTTCTCTTCTCTAGCTGAAGCACCCAACTCTCCCAGCCTGTCCTCACAGGGGGGCTCCAGCCCCCCCAGCATCTCCGTGGCTCCTCTGGCCCCGCTGGAGCAGGTCCGTGTCCTTCTGCTGTTGGTGCCCCCGCGCTGGACCCAGCCCTGCAGGAGGGTCTCCCAGAGTGGAGCAGAGGGGGAGAATCCCCCCCTGGCCCTGCTGCCCCCCCTGCTCTGGGTGCAGCCCGGGGCACAACTGCACTAGCCAGCATGCTGTGCCTCGTGGTCAGGGTGATTGCAGCCTGTGGCCTGTTTTTATCGCAGCGGGGACCCTCCTCACCCTGAACCCGGCCCAGGAACATCCGTCCCTGTCAGGGGGAAGGGCCGTGCTGCCCATGTGGGTCTCACCTGCCTGGGAAAGGCTCCACATCACCAAAAGCTTTCAGGGTGCTACTAGAACTCCCAACCGCAGCCCCTTCCCCAGCTGCTAGCCCTCCAGTTTGACCCACTTTGATCGGATCTGAACTGGGCTGCCTCAGACACTTTAATTCTGTCACCTGCCGCGCTGTGTCCCAGAATTTGTCCCATCCCTGTGCAGTGATGTGGTTACTTGGGAAGGAGGCCCAGCCTCCGCTGGCTGGTGCCATGCCTCTTTTATCCTCCCTTCACTCATGTCACTTTGCAGAGGGGTGGCTGGGGCCCTGCAGCCACCTCTGCTCTTGGTTCGGAGCAGTCAGGCTCCTGCACGTGCCGCGTAGCCCCTCTCCGCTTGTATCGGGACCCAATTTAGGGCTGAATTTACGGCGGTTTCTCACTGCGGCGCAGAGACGCCTCGGTACCGCATTTTCCTCAGCGATACCCAGCAGCATCAGTCCCCAGCAACGTCCTGGCTGCACCCCCTGCTCTAACGACCCCCTCTCCCGCAGCCTGATGGTGCGTTTGCACGAGGCCCTCAAGCAGTGCCAGGACCTGAAGACTGAAAAAGGTCAGATGGACCGAAAAATCAACCAGCTCTCCGAGGAGAACGGGGATCTCTCCTTCAAGGTGCGTCCTCTCCGCCTCCCCCATTGTTGTGGGACCTGGGGGGGAGGATTTGATGGCAGGACCGGGTGCTGGCCTCCTGACAGCAACGCTGCTGGGCTTGTGTGACCTTGGCCCTGGGACTGAACCTGCTTTGGGCTCCGGGTCCTGATCTGAAAGGAGAAAGGGACCATGGGGGTGGGAAATAGGGGCTGGGGGTTCAGTGCTGCAGGGTGTGAGCATCCAGGATGCGGATGCTCAGTGCTCAGGAGAGGTGTGCTGAGTGAGCTTTCTCCGGGACCGTTTTTTTTTGGGGTTTTGTTTTTTTTTTCCCTCCACTGTAGCTGCGGGAGATTGCCAGCCACTTGGTCCAGCTGCAGGAAGCCCTGAACGAGCTCTCGGAGGAGCACAACGCGGCCCTGGCGCAGTCACAGGAGAAGCAGGGGCAGCTGGAGAGCGAGCTGCGCACTGCCCTGCAGGAGAAGGTGACAAAGGGGTCTCCACTGGGGCTGGGGGGGCACCCGCAGCCCCCTACCTTGAGCTGGGGACGTTTTCCTGGGGCTGCCTCATGCCCCGGTGTGGGCAGGAGCCTCCAGCACACAGGAAGGGGTCCCTGTGGCTGTGTCGTCATCGTGTCTGTACCCCCCCTCCCCCCGAAGCCCCAAGCTTGGCACTGGATAAAGCCGGCGGTTGTGCCCCGCCCTCGCCTCATGCCATGCTCAGTCCCATGTCTCTGTCCCCAGAAATGCTCGGAAGAGAAGGTTGAGATTCTCCAGGGGAAGATTTCTCTGCTGGAGGACCAGCTGGCCAAATTGGGGGACTGCAGTGCCCAGGAGAAGGGAGAAGTTATGGGGGACATCCTGCAGGTACAGTGTGGGGGACCTTGGGAGAGGCTCTGGCTCCTGCAGGCAGCACTTGGGGGAAAATTCCGGCTGGGGGTCGCAGGCAAAACTGTGTGGGGCAGAGCCAGCTGCTCTCTGCACTTGGGTGGGGGCTGAGCACATCGTGGGGATCCCTCTTGTGCCAAATTGTGGGGATATCACACCTGGGTGACCGCGGGCTCCCCCAGCCCCACCATGGCATGTGGGTCGGTTGCGGGGGGAGCGGCTCCTGCATAGTGGAAAAAGGAGTTTGGGGCACAAGGGACAAAGTGAAGGGGAAAGCAGGGTGCACTGGGGGTGTACTGGTGGGGAAGGCAGGCACCGAGGCAGCTTCTGCTGGGATGCGGCGCCTGGGTCTGTGGTGAGAGCGTTGGATTGAGCTCGAGTAACTCTGGGGGCGTGTTTGTGTTTTGTTTTCCCCCCTCCCCTCAATGTCTCTTTTCTCTGCCAGCTGGAAGAGATGAAGCAGGAGGTGTCCAGCCTCGCCGCTAAAGGGGCCGAGCTCCAGGCCACCGTCCTGCGCCTGGAGGAGGAGAAGCAGCATCGGGAAGCGGCTCTGCAGTCTGAACGTGGGCGCTTCGAGGAGGAGAAGCAGCAGCTGGGCGGCCTCGTCGCCAGCCTCCAGAGCTCCCTTGCCGAGAGCCACCGGGCCAGGGAAAAGCTGGAACAGGATCTGCAAGTGCGAGAAGCCAGCGAGTCTCAGAGCACCCAGCGACTGGCTGCCCTCAATGCTCAGCATGAGGAGACGCTGCAGGAGCGTGATTCTGCCCTGCAGCAGCTCCAGCAGCTGCGAGAGGCCAGCGCGTCCCTGAGTGGCCAGCTGCAGGCTGTGACACAGGCCCAAGCCGCTAGCCAGGCCGCCTCAGCAGCGGAGAAAGCCGAGCTTAGCCGTAAAGTCGGCGAGCTGGAAGCCAGAATCTTGGAGCTCAGCACCCAGCGGCAGCAGGGAGCGGCGGAGGGGCTGAAGGCTCAGCTGCGGGAGCTGGAAGGCAGGCTGAAGGAAAACCAACAGAGGCTGGCCGAGAGGGAGAGGCTGGCCCGGGAAAACACGCGCTTGCAGGAGCGGCTGCTCTTCCTGGAGGAATCCCTGCGGAACACTGAGGGCATCCTGGAGGATGAGAAGAGGCGAGCGGCTGAGAGCCTGGAGGGCAGCCTGGCCAGGATCGCCGAGCTGGAAGCGGAGAGGCAGCGGCTGACGCAGGGCGGGGAGCTGGCTCCGCAGGAGGTGACCAAAAGCCGGGCGCTGGAGGAGAGCCGGGAGACGGCGCCGGGAGCCTCCCCCACTGCCCGAGGGGAGGCCGGAGAGTGCGGGCGGCTGGAGGAGGAGATGCGAGCGCTGAGCCGGGAGCACGGCCGGGCCTGCCAGCGGCTGCAGGCTGAGCAGGAGAAGGTGGCCGCGCTGGAGGCCCAGGCAGAGCGCCTGGCCACTGAGCAGAAGGAGAAGCTAGCCACCCTCCAGGCCGAGCTGTCCAGTGCCCAGGCGTGGGTGAAGGAGAAGGAGGGTGAGGAGCAGAAGCTGAGGGCCGAAGTCTCCTCCCTGTGGGAGAAGATGGCCACCGCGGAGCAAACCGCTGCCCAGCGCATCGCCGGGCTGGAGGCAGACGCCCGGAGAGCCGCCGAGGCGCTGGAGGGGATCTCCCAGCAGCTTTCCCAGGAGAAGCTCAAATCCAAGGAGCTGGAAGTCACCGTGGAGCGGCTGCGGAGCGTGGAAGCCGAGCTCTCCCGGGTGGCCGCCGCCAGCGGGCAGCGGGAGCGGGAGCTGGAGGCGGAGGTGAAGAAGCTCTCCGGGGAGCTGAGCCTGCTGCGCGCCAGGCTGGAGGAGACGCTGCAGGAGCACCAGCGGGACCTGGTGGGACAGGAGGAGGAAGCTGAACGCTTGCGGCAGGAGGTGGAACGGGGAAAGGCGGATTGCAGCGCCGAGCGAGCCCGTAAGGCTGAGCTGGAGGCGCAGCTGCAAAATTCCCTCAACGAGCAGAGAGTGGAGAGGTCGGTGCATCAGGAGGAGCTGGCCCGGGCCCGGGAGCTGCTGGAGGAGAAGCAGCAGGAGCTGGAAGAGCTCCGCCGGAAAAACGTCTCGCGGGGTGAGGAGCTGAGGGACCTGCAGAAGACAGTCAGCAAGTTGAAAGGAGAACTTGCCTTGGCGGCGGCGGCCAAGGAGCCGCAGGGCTTCTCGGAGGCCGCCCGGAGCAGGGATGTGGACAGGGACGGCGTCAAGGCCACCTGCTCAAAGGAGACGTCCCTTCAAAGCTTGGAGGAGAAGACCCGTCCCAGGGAGCAGGAATCCAGCTCGAGCCAAGAGCTCTACCAGGAGAAGCTGAAGGAGACACAGGCGCTTCGTTCGCAAGTGGAGGAGCTGGAGCAGAAGTGCAGGGAGCAGCGGGAGGCCGCGGCTGCTCTGGAGCGAGCGGCGGCCGAGGCAGCAGCGGCAGAGCGAGCGGAGCTGGAGGCCTCGAGGCGGGAAGTGGCACAGCAGAAGGAGAAAGCGTTAGAGCTGCAGAAGCTGCTGGAGGCCTCGAGGTCGGCGCAGGCTCTGCATGACGGCACCATGGAGGCCCTGCGGAAGGAGCTGCAGGAGAAGGGCAGGGAGCTGATACAGAGCAAAACCGCCGCTGCCGCGGCCGAGAAGGAGCTGGCGACCCTCCGCTCTGCGGCGCAGGAGAAGAGCCGGTCGGAGGAGAGCTGGAAGGAGCAAGTGTCGCAGTGTGTCCAGGAGCTGGAGAGGAAGAACAGCCTGATCGGCAGCCTGGAGCACGAGGTGAACATCCTCCATCGGCAGGTGACGGAGAAGGAGGGGGAGAGCAAGGAGCTGAAGCGCCTGATCATCGCAGAGTCGGAGAAGAGCAAGAAGCTGGAGGAGAGGCTGCGGGTGCTGCAGACAGAGATGGCCACCGCTGCCTCGCGGGCAGCCGAGCGCTGCTCGCTGATGAAGGTGGAGGTGCAGCAGTGCCAAGAGGAGATAGAGAAGCAGCGCTTGACCATCGAGGCCCTGAAACGGGACCGTCACTGCCAGAACGAGCGTGAGGATGAGCTGCGGCAGGAGGTAAAGGTCTGCCAGGACAAGTGCCTCCAGAAAGAGCAGCTCCTCGCCGCCCTGCAGCAGGAGCTTGGCAGCGCCCAGGCGCTCGCTGGGGAGCTGCCGGCATTGAAGCACCTTTGCCAGCAGCTGCAGGCCGAGCGCGCCTCGCTGGAGAGCCAGCACCGCCAGGACCTGGAGCAGAGGGCGAAAACCGTGGCTGCTCTGCAAGCGGAGCTGGCACGGGCCAAGCTGGAGGCGGCCGAGGTACCGTCTCTGCGGGAGCGCTCGGCAGAGCAGGACCGGGCCGTGCAGCGCCTACAGGCGGAAGCAGCGGAGACGGCGGCGCGGCTGGCGGGCTTGCAGCAGGCAAACGCTCGGCTGGCCGAGGAGAACCGGGGGCTCGGGGAGAGCCGGAGTCGTGGGCAGCAGCGGCTCGAGGCCGAGCTGGGGCAGGCCAGAGAGCGGCACGTGCGGGAGCTGGAGCGGCTGCGCTCGGCGTCGGAGGAGCTGGTGGCCAGCAGCCGGCAGAAGGCCGAGGAGGCAGCGCGGAAGCTGGAGGCACTGAGTAACGAGTATGAGAGCAGCAAAATGGCGGCACTGGAGGAGAGGAAGAAGATGCTGGAGGAGAGGCAGAGGCTGACGGCTCAGGTAGGGGCTCCCGCAACCTCCCCCCCCCGGCCCTCCTGGGAAACAGGGCATGTTTTGGCACCCCCAAATCCTCATCTGGGAGCTGGGGGACTGGGGTGAGAAGGGGACGGATGCTCCCAGTCTGCACCAGTCATGTATTCACTTCTGCCTTCTGTGCTGGCAGGTGGAGCAGCTCGAGGCGTTTCGGAAGGACCAAGCCAAGCAGGTAACGCACGCGAGGTGCTGGCTGCTTAAACGGTGACGGTGCACGGCCCGGCCTGCTGCCGCTTCCCGCCGGAGCCGCCCTCTCCTCGTCACCTGTTTGCGGTGGGGACCCAGCCGTGGGGCTCTTGGCTCCAGGTCTCTGGGCTTGTACCTTCGCCCCCCAACCCTGGGGAGTAGGAACTGGGGCGCGTGGCAGTGCCAGCGGCTCGGCGATGGCTTCTGACTGTGGCTGCCGAGAGCATCCAGGGCTCCTCGACACAGGGATGTTGCTCCTGTACTGCCTCATCCTCGGAGAGGGGATTTGGGGGGTAGCCAGGCTACCCCCTTCCTTCTGTCCACCCCTTTTTCCCCCTTCCTAAGTGGGGTTCAGCTCCTCGCCCAGCTGGCAGGAGTGAGAGGAGGGGGCTGCGCTCCCAGAAAGCACAATCCAGATGTGGCCAGAGGTGCCGACACCTTACGGCGGTGCGGGTCAGCACTTGGGAATCGCCGCTGGAAAAGCCTCGTTTCCCTGCCCAGCTTCGTTTGTCCCCCCCCAGTCCCAGCCTGAGCTGCCCAGGGACCCCACAGAGGCCTCGTGGCTGCAACCAGGGGGGGCCTGGGGGCTCCTCGAGCATTCCCTTGGAGCAGGTAGAGCCCAGCCAGGCCGGAGCTCACAGCAGCCAGGCTGTGGTGGCCATCTCCCCTTCGCAGGGTTCCCCGGCCCTTCCGCAGTGTCGCGTCCCCCCCTCGAACCGCAGGAGCTCTGCCAGGGGCTTCCTCGGCAGCGGGGGCCGGGGAGGGGGGGGGCAGGAAAACCTCCTCCTGGGGCTGCCCCCGGTGGGTCTAACCCAGCCGTGCTCTTCCAGGTGGAGGAGCTGAATAAAAAGCTGACGCAGCATGAGAAGGCCGCCCGCACCCAGCAGCAGAGGCTTAAGGTAAACCAAAAAACTGGGAAAACTGGGGGGGCTGAGCTCTTGGCCAGCAAGGGAGCTGGTTGGAGTTGCCCAGGGGGAGCTTGGCTGGGCGCAGGGTGACTCTGAGCTGGTTTCTGCGCTGCCTGCAGGTGCTGGAAGGGGAGCTGCAGGCAGAAGCCACCCGTCAGCAGGAGAAGGTTGCGGAGCTGCAGGCGCAGCTCGCCCAGAAGGAGCAGGCAGCTGAGCACTACAAAGGCCAAGTATGCCACGGCGGCGGCTGGCGCAGCCACGTCCCCCCCGCCCCGACTCTCCCCAGGGAAGCTTGACAGGTTTTCTCTCCTCGATATCCCAGATGGAGAAGGCAAAAACTCACTACGATGCAAAAAAACAGCAGAACCAAGACCTAGCAGAGAAGCTGAAGGCCATGGAGCAGCTGCAGAAGGAGAACACGGAGCTGCGGGCCGAGTCGGAGAGGTTGGCCAGGGAGCTGCAGCAGAGCGTCCTGCAGGCCAAGGAGTCGGAGCTGAGCTGCAGGAACCTCAGCGGCCAGGTCCGCAGCCTGGAGGCGCAGGTGGGCACGGCGCGGCTTCACCCTCCTCCTCCTCCTCTTTCCTCCCGGCCTCTGCCGGGGGGATCCATCCCTCCCTGCTTCCCATCCAGGTGGAGTTTGCCAATCGGCAGCTACGGGAGCTCGGCAAGTTCCAAGTGGCCACGGACACGCTGAAGGGCCGCGAGACGTTCCGCCAGAACCCCTCCGACCTCAGCACCGACAGCCTTGACCTCAGCCTGGACGAAGCACAGCCGCTCAACTCCACCAGGTACCGGCGTGACGCCGCACGGCAAACCCCGGTGTCCCCCCCACCCCTCCTCCT